AGCTTTGTCCGGAACATAACTCTAAGATTATAAGAGATATCAGCATGAAACTTTGTAGGTAGATAAATCTCATTGGGTAGAAGTGCAGTGCAAAAGATTCTTAACTCTGTTATGCCCAATTTTTGACTTATCACTCCTTTTAGAAAAATCTTGTCCGGGACATAGCTCTAAAATTATAAGAGATATCAACATGAAATTATGTAGGTAGATAGATCTAATTTTGGAGTTATTGCCCTTTGTTCATTTTAACACTGAACTTTGTCCGGAACATGACTCTAAGATTATAAGAGATATCAACAAGAAACTTTGAATGTAGATAAAAATGCAGTGCAAAAGAACCATAACTCTATTAAGCCCTGTTTTTGAATTATCTAACCTTTTAGAAAAGTTTTGTCCGGGACATAACTCTAAAACTATAAGAGATAACAACATGAAACTTTTTAGGTAGATAGATCTTAATGAATGGATGTTCAATGCATAAGAAACGTAACTCTATCTTGGCTTATTTTGGAGTTATTGCCCTTTGTTCATTTTACATTTTAAACTTTGTCCGGTACATAACTCGGAAACCATAAGAGGTATCAACAAGAATCTAGATATTATTTATTAGAAGTCCACTGCACCTTGCCTAAATCTGGAACTATCGCATTTTAAACTTTGTCCAGGGACATAACTCTGAAACTACAAGAGGTGTACTTTCCTGTGTCAAAACATATTCAGGGAGCATCACCCGGTTCAAACCGGGCTATTGTTTTCTTATTGAAATGGTATAAACGATATTGATTTTGGTTATATAAAGTTACTTTTAATGCTTTATGCAGATGACATTATTATTTGCTCCAACAGCCCAAATGATTTGCAAAAAGGGCTTAATGTATTATATGCATATTGTCAAAGATGGAAAAGACAAAAGTTATGGTCTTAAAAAAGGCGGTCATTTGCCTGGTCATTTAGAGTTGAACTATAATGGTAATATATTAGAAATAGTAAATCGTTTCACCTACTTAGGTGTTGTTTTTACGACTGATGGTGCATTTACACAAATGCAGACATTATTAGCTAGTCAGTCTCTTAAAGCAACGTATAGGCTAGAAAAGTATTTGTATACATTTGTTGATATATCGCCAAAGCGATATAGATGAAAGATGTAGATGAAAAGAAAAAACTGTGATAAGAAATATACTTTTCTGAAATTTGTCATAAACAATTTTCATGAAAAAATCTCACATTTTTATCTCTTAAAAAATTCAACTGTGGTCCAAAAGCCACAAACATAAAATTAGAAATTCTTGCATAGATCTGCCAAGGGAACGTAAAACAGAAAGATATTCAAAAGATAATTGAGAAATATACTAAGAAATGAATTGAAAGTTGTATTTTGTGCCATTCTTAATCCGATTTCAGTAAAAAGCGTTACAGCGTTTTTCAATTTTGGGTTATTTTACACAAAAAGAAAACTATTAATCATTCTTGAAAACGCAGAGAGCGAATGATCTAAATTTTTTGCAAGTTATTGGTCTAGACCTACATCTAATGGAATTACAATCTCGAAAATTATTTCCAGTCCCATTATATCAAATATCTCAGTGAATTCCCTTTATACGGTGGCACAAATGTGACATGTGTGTGTGTTTTTATTTACCTCGTGGCCACGAGATACTAAGTCGTGGCAACGAGATAGCTAAGTCGTGGCTACGAGATACTATGTCGTGGCCACGAGTTACTTAGTCGTGGGCACGAGATAGCTAAGTCGTGGCCACGAGATACTATGTAGTGGCCACGAGATACTATGCCGTGGCCACGAGTTACTTAGTCGTGGCCACGAGATAGCTAAGTCGTGGCCACGAGATAGCTAAGTCGTGGCCACAAGATACTATGTCGTGGCCACGAGTTACTTAGTCGTGGCCACAAGATAGCTAAGTCGTGGCCACGAGATAGCTAAGTCTTGGCCACGAGATACTATGTCGTGGCCACGAGTTACTAACTCGTGGCCACGAGATAGCTAAGTCGTGGCCACAAGATACTATGTCGTGGCCACGAGTTACTAACTCGTGGCCACGAGATAGCTAAGTCGTGGCCATGAGATAAATAACCATTAATTAACTAGACATGTGCTAGACATGTGCTATAGTACAAGGATGCCCCTTCTTCACCAGCCTGTAAAAGTGCCATTTATACAAATTATTGATTTGTCAATAATTTTACATTTAGCGTCACTGTGACCCTGATTATTGACCCAATGACCTCGAAATTATTAGATATCATCTACTGATCAGGTGCAATAATCTTTGTGGGTTTCATTAACCATGCCTTATCCTTTTTAAATTATTCATCAGACAAGGATTTTACCTTATAAGCTATTTACTGTCCATGGGCAATGTCCCTTACAAATAAAATAAACCAGGACTTATTACTTCTCATGTTATCGTATAAACAAGGTTAACAGGCCGTGGTACGTACAAACTGACCAATTCGATCACAAACTTGCCTAACAAAGAGCTATAGTAAAAAGTAATGTCTGATGGGCCTTGGAAGGTGACTTTCTGATATGATCTTAAAGACAAGTTCAAAGTGAATATCTTCAATATTTTCAAAGAAGATTAATGTTGCATGTAAAAGTAAGTTGTCAAGTTAAAAAAAATCATAATATATATAGTGTATTCTGATTGGTTAATTATCTCGTGGCCACGACTTAGCTATCTCGTTCCCACGACTTAGTAACTCGTGGCCACGACATAGTATCTCGTGGCCACGACTTAGCTATCTCGTGGCCACGACTTAGTAACTCGTGGCCACGACTTAGTAACTCGTGGCCACGACTTAGTAACTCGTGGCCACGACTTAGTAACTCGTGGCCACGACATAGTATCTCGTGGCCACGACTTAGCTATCTCGTGGCCACGACTTAGTAACTCGTGCCCACGACATAGTATCTCGTCGCCACGACTTAGCTATCTCGTGGCCACGACTTAGTAACTCGTGGCCACGACATAGTATATCGTGGCCACGAGATGAATAAAAACGCACACATGTCACCTTTTTGCCACCGTACCTTTAACATTTAAAGTCACTAGATATTCTTCATGTTATCGTAAGATGTTAATTAATATACCATGAGAAGTAAAACAATTTTTTTTGCTATCATTTAGATTTTTTCGTTATCAATAAAACGACCGGACAGCAGTGTCGAAAATGACATTGAAAATCTTTACATGTTCAAAAAAATTTTCAAACCGAATATTATACAAAACAAAAAGGGAATAAGTAATTCAATATTATACAATTATTGATTTGTGACTCATTAAATATGATGTGATATTCACCGGCAGATGACATATTTACCGAGGCGATAGCCGAGGTCAATATGATTTCTGCCGGTGAATATCACATCATTTTCAATGTCTCACTAGTCCATCATTGTTTTATTATATGAATAGGCAATAAGATTTTTTTCAAAAAATCACAAAAAGTACAACCTTATTATACAAGTACACATTTTACCTCGTTGAAGCGCGGGAAAAAAGACGCACGTGTTAGGCATACAAAAATAATTCAAGTTTATACTCATCATTGTGGTGTAGCCTTTAAGTATAATAGTAAAGTAATTGTATTTTAATCGAGAAATATGCCATAAGGAACAAAAAGCAACAATTATTTTTTAATTAACACGCGTAATTAACAGTCTACTGTGTATGATCATTGAATATGAGTCTCAATCTATTTTTAGACTGGGAAAATAAAATTCAGCCTGTGAATACGACTTTATAAAAAGTTCTGTTGACTACTGTTTGGACCAATGAGATTGCAGCTATATTTAGATCATATAATAATATACTGTAAGGGAATTAGTAATTCAATATTATACTGAACAACTACAAATATGTAGTTTGATATTGGGTTGAAGGGTAGAATTTTAGACAATAAGTACACAGAACTATATTAATAAATCGGATACTAATATGATCAAATATAAATTCAAAATTTATTGTTAATAGTATTTGCGTGCTTTTTTTCAAACCTCCAATTGATTTAACATTTTTTTCAATATTCCGCTTATAGTAATGGACTTTTTTAAAACTAATATACAATATAAACAAAATAATCCTTGCTGATGTTAGTACTAACGCCAAGCAAACATTTCAGCAACTATGTCGCCCATAATGTGAATAATAACAACTTGCGTTAAAATGTTAAAAAGTTAAAAATAAATAAATGAATAAAAAGATAAATAAATAAATAAATAGATAAATAAATAATAATAATAATAATAATAATAATAAAATAATAATAATGATAATAATAGTAAACAAAAAGCATTGCGTGAAAGAGAAGGTATTTGTACTAATTAACTTTAAACATTTTGTTTAAATGCCAACTACAATTATGTTATGCTTACTGATTTTGATTTTCTATATTACCGAATAAGTAATAAATCTAATCTTTAGTCGCAAACATATTTTACATTCTACCGCAAAAAGGTTTGATTTAAGTATTAGTTTAAGTTGTTTCTTTTTAAATGATTGTCCCTGGTTTAGTTCATTTTAATCGGTAGGATTAGCTACTTGTATATTGTGTTCCATAAGTAAAGCATAATCAAGTATTACTGTTTTCATTTAGGTTGAGTAATACGTTTGGATTTCATACTTAAAATCACCTTAACACCCGACTGTTTTGTTACAAAAGTGAAATTATAAACTAAACAAAAATTGTAACTGAATCGTAACAATCGTCGCTTAAAAAGTATACAAAATGTTCAAGGCTGACTATTGGTTAATTTAAATGTGATCTATAGCGTTAATCTTATAACTATTGAATAAAAGTATTTGTAGTGTTTAAGTGGAATAATTAAGAAAAGAAAGGATTTAAAATGTTTTTATGCTTTACCTTTGACACAAAATCTACCACACAAGAGAAAGGTGACACTGGAAATTTTTATTTTTAAATGTAAAATATTATGGAATAGTCCCTACATGCGATTTTAATATTTTTTTTAATTACAGAAGAAATGGGAATCGCGTAAGAAAAGAATACCATTACCGAAGTTTGACAAGACCAAATCAGTAGAAAAACCTAAGATAAAGAAGTTGCCAGGCAAAAAAGTAAATAAACAAGGAGCCGGAAATATTGAAAAATTCAACAGTCTAAGTTTGCAAGCTAAACCTGAAAAAGTTAGAGTTATCAAAAAGTCTGGATTAAACATCAATGAAAGTTTCAAGCTTAAACATAAAAAGGAAGACAAATTCTCAGAATACGAGGAAGAACCAGCAAATGACAAAAAGGTGCGAATCGTGAAAAAGTCTGGAGTATCATTTAGAGATAGAGGGTTGGTTAAACAGAGTAAATTTGACCTTGAATCAGAGGACGAACAAGAGTTTAAAAGTAAGAAAAGAGATACAATTCGGGTTTTGAAAAAAACTAGACTTTCTTTAAGAGACCAATTTTTAATAGATTCAAATCAATCTGATCAGTTTTCTGATGATAATCAAATTATTCCAACTAAAGTAAGTAAAAAAGTAAGTGTTTTGAAAAAGAAGGGATTAACTATTCGGGAAAGAAAAGAACTAGAATCAGAAACAGACGAGTACGTTACAGATTATGATGAAACAATAACTGAAAGCGAGAAGGTTCGAATTGTTAAAAAGCCCACTACAACACTAAGAGAAAGAGGATTAGTGAAGCCTAAACTAACTGAACCTTTTTCTGGAACAAAAGTGAACCATACTGAAAAGGGTCACGATAAAGTTAGAGTTGTTAAAAGGCGAATATCAACAAATGATATTGACAACTATAGTGTTACAGATGATGAATTAGATGTCCCAAATGGTAGAAACAGCGCATTATCAGATTCAGTAGTTTATCATAAGAAAGTTAAAAGAGTACAAAGAAAATCACTGAAAGATAAATACATAGAAACTGAAATTAGAGAAGAGGAAGAAGAAAGTTTCAGCGACATGAGTCAAAGAACATTGAATAATGAGAGTGGAGGAGATGGTATGGATTACGATGATTACGACACTGATCATCAGGTACGTTACCCACAAACTATGTCTCTTCAATTTTGGAAATATTGTATCTTTGTTTCTGTTAATACAACAAATTGCCTCCTTAATTGTTATAACCAGTGCGTTTTCTTTACCATCAAGATTTATTCTGGTTTTCTCATTAATTGGAAAGTAAATTTACGCCCTATTCACATATCGTATATTCGTGTAAAGGTAACGTTAAATGTGCACACTTTCACGCCTCTCAAATTTAGTAATATGATACATTGTGTATCGTTAAATCAATCTTTGAAGCCAATTTGAAAGAAGATAATTGTAAAGTAACTATTGTGACTGTCATATGTCATGTGGTGTATGTACAGTATTGAGATCGTTTCAAATATAGATTTCACAATGATAATTACTTTGTCATTAAATGCCATTCCTTTAGAAACCGATACTATCGGACGACGGAAAGGATTCCAGCGTTACATCATTATTAGCTAAGATCAATTTCTCGAATGCGAATGAACGTTCGCACTCATATTTATTTAAAACGGGTTCGTCATTTTTTTAACAAGGGTCGATGTTATTAAAGTGAATTAGTTGACAATGAGCACATTTTCCATAAATATTTCAAATATTGATAAAATCTATAGAAATGTATCATATTCTTTTAAATGCTTGAAAGAAAAAAAGGTTATTAAATTTTTAAGTGATTTAGTATAAACATTTTTATGATGACTATTAATATTTTGTTCTAGAACAAATTATTATCTGCTATGTAAAATTATGTAATATCAGATCATGTATCTCAAACTTGCCATTAACATTCATGTTTAATTCTTTTGTGGTTTGTTTTATGTGTGATGCTAAATACTACTAGACAGACAGACAGACAGACAGACAGATAATTTTATTTCACTTAGGTATATCAAAGTATACAACATGAGTGTTATCAATATCGTTATTATAGCTATGATTGTATCCAGTATAAAAAGCAGGTCTATTATTTAAATTATACATTTAATATACATGTATTTGAGTATCCAATTGTAGGGGAACTCTTTAATACAGATGATTATCTACAACCCAGCCATCCCCATTCCCACCCCAACAAATAAACATATATCCCATCACCAGTAATAGAACAAAGAATACAGCACAAACATGATATGATAGAAGGCACATGGAGGAAAGAGAATCAAAATATGAGATAATGTTATCAAAACCGTTTGAATATTTTAGATATTATTACATATTACCACACAAAAGTACGCCAGAGTAGTAAGAGCTATTAGCGTAATTACTGTTTGTATTACAGCTCCATTCACTTAATGTCTTTTGGTGAGAATAAACAGGTAATTATTTATTGGAATCGAATATATCTTTGCTGTCAAAATGAATATGATATTCTTGATTTTGTTTCAGGAATATAAAAACTCACTAAAAAGATAACATGAAAAAAAGACTTCAGTATGATAATCATATCGAATTTTACCCACATATTTGAAAAACAAAAACAAAATGTTGAACAGTTAAAATTTAGCTATAAAAACGTGAACAGTTTATAATTCATGATCTATAGTTAATATATGTTTGACTACATTATCTCAAGTACTAGATCGCTTTAACATAGCTGAAATAACGTTATTTATAAAACGCTTCTGGATGATAAGAGTTTATGTGATCTTTTTGCCCATTTGCAAACATGGTAGTTTTTTTTATAAACTCTTTCACTTCAACTATATAGATATATATCGAGTTTTGGTCTTTGGAGAGTAATTTGTTATGAGCTTAAGATTTAAAAAAAAATAACTACGGCAAACAAACTCTATGGTTATTTTTGATGATTGGTCGATTAAACTTTCTCTAATGTTATAAAATTCTTATTATCAATGCTACACTCCTAGAGAAATATTGACATAAGATATTTACTGTCTTGTTAACCGTATTCGTATTTCACGGTGTCATAGTAAAGAGAAATACTATGTCGGTGTTTTGTTTTGATTAACGATAATGTGAAACATAAAAGCGCTGAATGAGTGCTCGGATAGAAAGGAGACGTAAATGGATAAAACTGTATGCAGTTTCATTAATACGACTGTAACTTATAACAAGAAGATTATTTTTTTCTCTTAAGTGATTTAAGGGACCACAGACTAACTTGCGTCTAACAGACATCTGAAGTAACATTGACATAAAAACTGTTCGTAAAATGAATGAACAAACAGGTAAAACAGGGCACGAAAGTGAGTATAAAACATTATAGAGATATCTTGCTTTGTGTTTTGTTTGTTTGTTTTAGTAGGATTTTACACAGTATAGGTGATAGCTTTACTTGTGGAGGGAGACGTCGGATGCCCTTCCGTGCATTATTTCCGGCACGAACGGGCAGCTAAGTAGAACCACCGACGTTTCGAAAGTTTGATAGCCATTTTGTATAAAGAGGTTAATTTATTTCAGGCAAACCATAATGACGGACGTCTACCCAGTATAGAGCCAAAATACGGAGCTTCCAACCAAACCAGTCCTACTTCGCCTAGAAAGATGGCAGTTTATGTATGTACCAGAGGTTTTATAACAAGAGAATTTACCCTTACAACGCCAAATATATTAAATGGACGTGTCCAGTTTTTTGTCTGGACAAAGCTATTAATAAGTTTTAGGGAAAGTTTCAAGTTTAAAGGTACCGAATAGTGGACACTGTAGACTGTGATCACAGCGCACTGATGTGTCCACTGATCACGGTTTATATTGTTAGCGCTACCAGGCTAAGGGTTAACTACGTGAAAAGTATCTTAGAATAAATATTGCGGTTTCATGCGACATACCCTATCTTATGTTTGGCCAAACAGTAATATCAATAAATCATAAATATTTGTCGTTCAAGCTTCCATTTCGATAAATGTTTGGTTAAGTTAACTGTAAAAAGAAATAAAGCATAATTATTTGCTATTTTTGGTCATAAGTGGCCATAAACGTCGGCCGTGTTATATTTATGGATAATATGAAAAGACGGGTACGTAAAAACGTAGCAATATAAGTAACATTAATTCAGTTTGAATGATAAAGTTTTATTAGAAAAACATTCATTATCCCAATTAAATGTGATTAACGGTATTTAAAGTCAAGAAAAGTTTTTTATTCTGTTATTTGATACACACATAGCCCTAAAATATATAGTTGTGTCTGTTTACTCAGCATATTGAAAAGGATTAAGGTATCAAATCGATTGAAACACTTTTTCAGTATTAATATAATTCGTTAATCTTTTATTTATAGGAAAGATTATATGATCCGGACTACAGAAAGAACCGAAGTATTCCGACAGAACCTGAACCTGTTTATGTACGAGAGTTCAAGTCTCGCCCACCCAAACAGCTGGAGCATGTGGTAAGCTTGTGCAAATAACTCAATTTATCAAATATATTTGTATTATATATGTAATGTTAAGGTCACCTAATTTTGGAATGATGTAATTCAATATAAGCAATAGCGATATTTTGAAAAGATTTTTATAGCACTTCGTAAAAATGACCTGATATTTACAAATTTAATTAATTCAGCTTTCATTTAAATTTAAATGTATTAAATTTTCTGACATCTGTACCTTATACCATAACCTACATATAAAGACTGGGATAGAAGCTTACTAAAAAGATCTTACATTGGCTGCCGGTTCAGACCGGAATGTCTAGCTTGAGGGAAACTGTTTACGGCGGTAGCGAGGCTCTGGGTCCGAGTTTCCGCTGAGAGTTAATTTATAAAGACCTTACACCGGCTGCCGGTACAGACCGGAATATATAGCGTGAGGGTATCTGTATAGGGCGGTGTAACACCGCACTTTGGGGTCCAATGCACATTGTGGTTCGACCTCAAAGTGCTTTACTTACTTGATCCAATTTTTGACCCCAAAGTGCGTTATACAGGTGCATATGCATTTTTTTAATATCGGACGATCTACCGCACTATGGGCTCATGAAAATTCAATTAATAAAAATTAATTTTCATGATGTTTTAAAGTAACATCTTGTAATTAAAGCCAATGGTAAAACTCACCGGCGTCGTCAACAAATATCAAGGTATCAAATAGACGAATTGCATAAAATCAGTACACGCAGTACTCAGAAATATCATTTACAATTTAAATAGTTACACATTAACAGCAGAACTTCATAATAATGTAAAGTTAGTCCTTCCTGTGGATGGTGGGGTGTCGAACCCCCCGATATTATAAAAATAACTTTTTAAAGACCCATTAAGCTTTGTATTTCTTAAAAACTTTTTTAAATTTTGGTGTACTTCTATAGTATCCAAAAAGTAACTTATTGGCCAATTACTTGCACCATCTTTTTTTCATCTGTTGCTTTTTGGCAATAAGTACAGTTATAGTGAATTAGTATTTTTAATGGAAGTCAAATAAAACATTGTTTACATTTTCCTACTTTTATGACAAATCATGTCACGTTTTCAGGTAACAAGTATCTTAACGTTTCTCTGATACAATTATTTAAACATTATAATAATTCATGTTTGCACTTTCTAAAGAAGTAACTTCTTATATGTTTCTGAGGCATAATAAGCCTTTAAGTGAAAACTCAATAAACATTGACTCTCTATCACCTCTGAAAAATCAAGGCGGACACCCTCTGTAATAAGATTACTCTTTTAAAAAAAGCCTCCGGCGAACGGTTGTTACTGAGCTTACAAAAAAACACACAAAAAACTCAAGTTTGTTGATAAACTGAATAGTGTATTTGTAAAGATCGCTATTTATAGTCGGATCGAGAAACTTGATATTTCACCAGAACATTGCAATAGAGTTATAGTTCTTTGGGGAAAAGTATTAGCTGCATTGTAATACATCCCCATCATATTTAAAATGGGGTTCACTATGGCACCAAAAGTTATCAAGTAAATTGCTGATAAAACAGGATATTTTTCGAAGCATCTTTTATTTTTAGGAATACATTCACAATTCATATACTATAGTACTTTGTTATATGGACACAATTTTTAGATATTTCAAGTGGTAAAATTAATAAAACACTTATCACTAAAGCATCAAACACATTTACTGCTACATCAGAATTTAAATGGCGCTTAGTGAGATTTATGTATATAAGAATTGACCATCATCTTGAACTCCATCTCAAATATTTCAATGTCGCAGATCGAAAATAAGTCTCAGTATTTAAGCAAAACTCAGTTGACACCTTCAGAACTTTGGAACCCAAAGTGCGTTGATATATAGCATATTAACGCACTTTGGGGTCAATTTCCCGATTTTGACCCGAAAGTACGATGTGAAGTGTAACGCACTTTGCGGTAGGATCCCAAAGTGCGGTGTTACAGGGTTGTAACGAATCTCAGTTTCCGCTAAACAGTCATCCGAGAGTAAGATAATCTCGTCTGTGATGAGAGCCGATGTTTGATCTTTTTTCTTGCATATTACTTACAGTAAAGATCATATCTAAGAGTAATATTTCATTTAGCACTCTTATAGAAGCGAATGAATACAAGTTATCCGAAACTCGGCAAAGTGGGAATTTTTCCCAAGCTTATCCCTAGGTACAAACAAACTTTACCATTATACCTTCAAGGTCGCCCCGTTGCGCTTATTTTAAGCTAGTAGTGTACAAGTTTGTTTGCAAATTTGTACTCCCAGATTAGTTGGGAAAAAACCAAAACAAGTCAAATTCACAACTTCTTTCATAACGGCTAAGTGACGCCATCCTAAGAATGTGTAAAGGCGCTCGAGAGTGACGTTATTTAAAGCAGGTGACTTACAAAGGGATGTAAGACGGAGTGTAAACTAGATTATCCCCTCTCACATGCAAGCTGTCTGTGAGTGCAGCCGCTGTATGATTCTTTTCCTTGCATAATACATAGTCTACATATAAATCATATTCCGGAAAAAAAAATCACGAAATTAATATTTTCGTTTAGGCTAGCCTACACGTCTACTGCTGGCTGATCATTTTTTAAGTTTCAAAAGTTCAAATGAACAGTTCCAAAAATGGTAATTGGACAATTCAATGTAAGAATTTTAACACGTTGATTATTCAGTACGGATTAAATAACGTTCTATAAACTTCAGAAAAGCCGGCACAGAGATGCTCAATATTTTGAGCCGAGAGGAGAATATGTATTAGAAAATCAAGAAGAAGAAAACGTTCATCCGTTTAAATCGAAGCCACCTAAAAACCTTGAGCATGTAGTAAATATATTTTTTATTGTTTAAATCCTAATCACTGTGTTACAGTTTAACAGAAAATACTACAGCTATAATAAACGTATGATTAATTTTTGCCATCGTTCTTTACTTTATAATATTTATGTTTAAGATTGTTTTACCTATTCTTTTGGTGCTTCATGCAAAACACGTATGTAAGCAAGGGCTACAAGTGAGCTACTGCGTTATCTATAGATAATTATTTATATATATGAGCCGCGCCACGACAAAACCAACATAATGCGTTTGCGACCAGCATGGATCCAGACCAGCCTGCGCTTCTGCGCAGTCTGATCAGGATCCATGCTGTTCGCTAACCAACTCTATTACAAGTAGAGAAACTGATAGCGAACAGCATGGATCCTGATCAGACTGTGCGGATGCGCAGGCTGGTCTGGATCCATGCTGGTCGCAAACCCATTATGTTGGTTTTGTCATGACACGGCTCATATCATGAAGAAGTAAATGCCAATCTTTGCTCAAGCAACAAACATTTCAAATATACATACTGATAGATACATGTACAAAACATGTTTTAAGTATTTTAACAATTAAGCAATGAATGCCACAATTGTTTTTGTTTATATTTGCAGACAAGCCGACATCTTAGTCCAGAATATCAGAAAAAGAAACAAGGACAAGAAGGTGGAAACGATGTTGTTTTACAGAACAATTTTGTCTCCAGGCCTCCTAAAAAATTGGAACATGTCGTAAGTAACGGTAACGTGGGTCATAGTCTACATGTATATCATTTGTGTAAGACTAATTTTTTCCTCTTCTAAAATAGGGACTACTTTGTACTATACATAAAAATGTGTCATTTTAAACCTTATTCGGATATGCTATGTGGTTTGTTAATCAATCAATCAATCAATCAATCAATCAATCAATCAATCAATCAATCAATCAATCAATCAATCAATCAATCAATCAATCAAGCAATCAATACCATGTAAATTATAATACAATAAATGTAATTTATAACTATAATGATGACTGTCAAGTGTTCAACATACCTTAAAATAATAGCAATATTTAGATGATTTTTTTTATTTGAAAAATAGAAAATATCAACACGTCATATATTCATACAGGTCAAAAATAACTGTACATGTGTCTTTGTATTTAAAACTGTTGCCGAACTTTAACAGAACTTAAATTAATATAGCATATTCTTCACTTTCTTTGCTGTTAATGTCTGCCTTTCTATATCGCAGCAAAGTAAGATATTGGACCCAAAGTACTACAAAGAGAAGCAATATCCAGAGGAAGAAGAAATACTAGATAATGAATTTAAAGCGAGGCTTCCAAAGAATCTTGGACATGTTGTAAGTTGATCATAAATAGTCTTCTTCCATATCAGTTTGTACAGAGTTTAGTGTAAAAAGCTGACAAACTGTCATAAACTTTCCTTTCAACATTGCATTTACACACACAGGATGGTATCCTTACGTGATACCTCCGGGCTATTCATAATGCACGGTAGTAAAGAATGTTACCAACAACAATTTCTTATTTCCGACAACGTCTGCAGCTAAATAATATAAAAGGACATGTTTAAATATCTGAGTGTATCAAACATTTAACTATTAACCTAATTGAATTAGGCTATGGGAGGGGAGTCAGTCTTGAACAAAACTTACACTGTTTTATTTTATTTTATATGCATTTGTTATACTGATATTTGCGACAGCAGTATTAGATTAAGTTGTTCATGAGTGTTCATAATTGTATAAATAATCTGATTACATTACTTTTTTTTCTCGCAGCAAAGTAAGATTATGGACGCGAAATATTACCAAGAGAAACCACCTCCCGAGGAGGAGAAATTAGATAATGAATTTAAAGCTAGACTACCAAAGAAATTGGAGCATGTTGTAAGTGTATTTTATTTGTATAATTCTAAGCATTTTTAGTGTATTTGATGGCTTTTCCGGTTGATGGAAAGTCAATGGTTCTATCGAAGTGCCATCCAGTGATCACATAGATTCACGCCTCCTTCACCGGTAAAGCTAAAAACCGGCGTTAAAAGCGTCGGTATGACTAGTATCTAAGAGAAACAAAATGAAGGAAAACAATAAAACGTATTTTAAGCAATTTACCATACTATATAAGATACTTCATTCTTTCAACTGTTTATGATGTTACAACAGTAAAGAGTGAATCTGTAATTTGTCACTGAAAAATGAAAGTCTCGCATCACTTTTTACGTTGTAATGGTTATCAAGGGATAGTGAGCGAGGGTATGAAGGGAGAATGGGCGAGAGTATGGAGGGAGAGTGAGCAAGAATATGGAGGGAGAGTGAGCGAGAGTGAGCGAGAGTATCGAGGGAGATTGAGCGAGAGTAGCGAGAGTATCGAGGGATAGTGAGCGAGAGTATCGAGGGAGAGTGAGCGAGAGTATCGAGAGATAGTGAGCGAGAGTATCGAGGGAGAGTGAGCGAGAGTATCGAGGGAGAGTGAGCGACAGTATCGAGGGAGAGTGAGCGACAGTATCGAGGGAGAGTGAGCGAGAGTATCGAGGGATAGTGAGCGAGAGTATCGAGGGAGAGTGAGCGAGAATATCGAGGGAGAATGAGCGAGAGTATCGAGGGAGAGTGAGCGAGAATATCGAGGGAGAGTGAGCGAGATTTTCAAGGGAGAGTGAGCGAGAGTATCGAGGGAGAGTGAGCGAGAATATCGAGGGAGAGTGAGCGAGAATATCGAGGGAGAGTGAGCGAGAGTTTCAAGGGAGAGTGAGCGAGAGTATCGAGGGAGAGTGAGCGATAATAAAGGAGAGTATATATATTTGACCAATACATGTATTTTGAAATATTTTATTTTGTCCTGATATTGTTGATTGTATATTTCAGCAAAGTCGAATTCTAGATCCTCCGCGGAAATCTAGACCAACTTCTGAAGAAGCTGACAGTATCTCGTTACCCTCTTTCCGAGCAAAGCCCCCGAAACATCTTGAACAAGTGGTAAATTCATTTACATAATTAATTATTATTATAAAATAAATGATTGCATATAATATGATGAACAATCTTTTTTCACAATGTTCATGTAGATTCTTGATCTCTATGCTTTTAATATATACTCAACATCACTAATTCCGCGTCATCACTTATTTCAAGGTAATGGCATATTTTCATGTGACCAGTGTTAAAATTGGTCAGAATTGACATATTTTATTCATACACCTAAACAACAAAGTTTTGGTGCAAAAAAGTTTAAATCTCTAGATTTTTACGTAAAACAGAACAACATTTTACAAATTTCTGCAAAAAGCACCAATAGTCCATTAAATTTGTGCATACGTCTGAAACAATCATCATATTCTAAATGTTCTTGTATGATGAAAAAATAAATTTTGAGTTATAAAGTAAAGATAGTTTTAATATTTAAAATTAAGCAAAATAACATGTAGAAATTTTAACTGAAACATGAAGAAAAACTGTCATAAAACACCATTACCGCGATTTAAATGATGACATACTGTTTTCAAAATAGCCGACATATGGTCTACGTCTGGCTCATTTAAACTGATTTTGACTAAATATATTGTTGTTTCCTTGTGTCATACAGCAGAAAATACCTATATGTTACAGCTTATGACAATTTTTGTACCATAAGTTTCATGTGTTGTTTTCTTTCTTGCTTCAAAGCGTTAAGTACCGTGAACTAAGAGGAGCACAGATAACTTTTTATCACCATTTAGAATACACATGTATTACATTTGTATTATATCGGATTAAGAACACTGATTTTAGATAAAAGATACTAAGACATTAATAATTTCTGTTTTTGAAATGTTTACTGCAACTGAAATCGAGTTAAAATCCCCGAACAATATTTATCCGTTTGAGAAAAAAAATTTGCATATTTTGTATGCATTGCTAAAAAATAATTCTACTCGCCTTCAGTCATTTAGAATATTTATAAACATGTATCATAGTTTCGAGATTTTTCCATTGAAGCTGCGTCAAAGTAAAGTCGTATACCTCGTCTACTGTAGGCAGAGTGACGCCGCATATAGCTCTCAACGAATACGTCACAACCTAATTTAACTTGAAATTGTCTCAGTCATTTTCGATTCTCTGTAGATCCTTTACTTTGGCATGTACAGAAATTATCAGTTCCTTTCGCAGTAAAGCAACTAATACTGATACACTGACAGCTCGTTCACGATTTACTGTCGTTGCCCGGAGTGAAAACTGTCAGTCGTGTTTCGGAGCTCTTTCTTATTATCTGTCCGTTATTCTTGTTTTATTTTTCACGTGTACGTGCACTTGATTTGTTACAGGTATTAAATTTGCAATTTTTGCACGCAGTGATTTACATTTTAGTGGTAAGAAAATAACATGCAAACAAGAATGTCTAAGAACTGTAAGAACTATTTCAATATCAAAACAATCTCTCTATTTTCATCTTTCTGTTAAATTTTTGCTCTTTGAAACAGACTGTTACTTCGTTTGTCTCAAGAAATGTGGCAATTTGAATTGAACTGTAAAAATCATAAAGTAGAAAATTGTCGAGTATTTGATAACGTTTATATCATTTTATGTAATATTACAGGGCAGTCGAACCACCATCTTATGTTATATTGCAGGACAGTCGAACCACCATCTTATGTTATATTGCAGGGCAGTTTAATATTACATCAACCATTCTATGTTATAGTCCAGGGCAGTCAAATACTTGACCCACCGTTTTTAAATTATATTACAGGGCAGTCGAGCCACCATTTTATGTTATATTGCAGGGCAGTTTAATATTAGACCAGCCATTTTATGTTATTGTCCAGGGCAGTCAAATATTTGACCCACCGTTTTTATGTTATAGAACAAGGCAATCGAAACACTATAATTATTCTGTTATATTGCAGTGCAGTTTAATATTAGACCATTTCATGTTATATTACAGGGCAGTCGAATATTAGAGTAACCATTTTATTTTATATTACAGTGCAGTCGAATATTAGACGCACTATTTTATGTTATGTTACAGAGCAGTCAAATATTAGAACTATCATTTTATGTCATATTACAAGGCAGTCGAATATTAGACCCATCATTTTATGTTATATTACAGGACAGTCGTATATAATATAAAAGGTGCCATTTTATGTTATATTACAGGGCAGTCGAATATTAGATCCAACATTTTATGAACCTCGGCCAGAATATGTTTACGAATCAGAAGAGGATCATATTGACCACAATTTTAAAGCGAAGCTTCCAAAAAGTTTACAGCATGTGGTCAGTATAACCCATTGTTTTTTAAATATGAAAAAATATATGCTTGTGAATAATTGCAAGCAATTATGATAATATATGCTGTATTTTGCTCGGTATTTTGTAATTTGCATGTTGATATAGTCTGAAAATATATGACTATATATAGGTACCTTCCAATATGTTCCAAGTGAAGTAATCTTACCAAGAAAATAATGGCAAATGTTGGAATATGATAATTTCAAGAATGTACGTAGTAAAAACATTAAAATTTGTTATAACATTGTATTGTTTTATAACCATTTCACAACCAGTTCGATAAGTGTAAAACTAATAACAAAATCGCATTGATGACAAATGATTAAAAAACATTGAATTTTTCGACATCTGTCATTTTCATTTTTACAAGTCACAATATCTTTTTCAGGAGTCACGTGCGTTAGATGCTAAGTATTTTAAGAAAAAGACTTTACCTATGACCACAGAGGAACGTGAAGCTCTCAATGCAAATCATAACTTCAAAGCAAGACTTCCAAAATCATTAGCACATGTTGTATGTATGAACTACATTACAAACATTATTTCGAAATGAAACTCAAGTAGATTTTCTTTTCTGTATGGAAAAAAGAAACTGAACGAAAAATAAGTGGCCACAAACTTAAATCATTAATCCTTTCTGTTTCATTATCAAAATGGCATGATCAGCCTAAATGGATGACAATGAAATAAAGAAATTACATTGTGTTTATTTAGAACATAACGGGTAATATTGTACGGCTTATTATTTTTTCGAGGATGACCGCTTTGTGGTTCATAAAAACAAATTATGTGAGCAGTAATTTTATACGATTTATTTAAATTTGATTGTGCCAAAAGCTAACACTCGAATCCGTCCTTAAGCCTCGGTCTCACTTACTCCCGGTAGAGCCCCGGATCATCCCGGTAAGTTACCGGGATGATCCGGGACGATCCGGGGTGTAATTATTGTTGCGGTCACACTTACCCCGGCAGCACTACGGTAGTTCTCAACTAACCACCCAGGATGCGCTCCGGATCATCCAGGCAGAGCCCAGGTGCAGTTACGGTTCATGCCGGTGCTTCCCCGGTCGTTCCCGGATGATGCCGGAAGAGCCCCGGTTGACCCAGGCAGAGCCCCGGTCGATGCAGGCAGAGCCCCGGCAGAGCCCAGGACGATCCAGGCAGAGCCCCGGTAGAACCCCGGTGGATTGTAAACGCCCGAAAATGATAACATTGATACATAATTTTTATTTAATATAATATCTATTATTCCAGAATAGTATTACATGATGATTTTCTGAAAAATCCTGATGCCATACTGGATAGAAGGGAAATGGAAGGGGTTTCAATACCAGCAAGTGCAATCATCGCAATTGTCGTTATTCTTTTGAAAATGATCCAGGCTTTGCCGGGGCTCTACCGGGATAAACCGTAGCTCTACCTTTATCATCCGGGGCTCTGCCTGTAGTTGCCGGGGCTCTGCCGGCATTTTCCGGGGGCTCTACCGTAGCTCTACCGTAGCTCTACCGGCTATATCATACCCGGATCATCCCCGGTTTGTGCCGCAGAGCTACGGTGCTTCCCCGGTAATAACCTCGGTCGTTCCCCGCAGAGCTAAGGATGAAGCCGGCAAAGCTATAACTTCCCGATCATCCCGGACCACCCCGGTGATATTAAATATTTTATTCCATCCGGGATCGAATGCCGGATGTTCCCGGATCATCCCGGATCATCCAGGACGTTGCCGGCAGAGTTACGGATGTACTCCGGTTGTTCCCGGTCGTACCCCGGTCGTTCCCGGATCACCCCGGACGTCTACCGGGGCTCTGCCGGGGCTCTGCCGGGATGTAAGTGAGACTGTAGCTTTAGAACAAACCAGTGCGAAGCAATGAGTGTAAAGTTTCTTGCTCTTGTCCCTGACAGGGTTTGAATCCACGCGACAAGAAGTCATTGGATTGCTTATCCGGCGTGGTAACCACAGGGCCACGTAACCTCTAGACAATTTACTGTCTTGGTTACAGACACTCTGTATACATTTGAAAATAAATGTATGCACTATGTCATGTTAAAATTGTAGACTGCTTCCAAAATAAATATTTTTGTACGAATATAACAATAGCATACCAAATAAGTTTAATGTGTATGATGTTGTTTATCTTTAACTGTCCAGATTGCTTTATCACATGTTTCATCCGTGATAAGTTTAAAAAAAAGTAGAAATTCTACACGTAATGTTCATATCTCACTCAATGCAATCCTAAAAGTGGTGTGCATATATTAAGCCAGGAAAAATTAGGAATTTTAGCCACGGACCTTGATACTTGTATATAACCAATGGATTTGTGCTTCTCACATGCAAGAACAACCAAGCGCATTTATCCGTACTTAATTATGATTGTGACGAATGAACTGTTTTAAAGATATTTATCGTTTTCTGACAATAGCATTTTTAAATCTAGTTTTAACTTATAAACATCAGAAATTACTGTAAAATTTCAGCAAAGCAGAGCATTTGATCCTTATTACAACAAATCATTATCTCCACGTCATGAAACTCCTGTTGTTGAATTAAAACAAAGAGGAAAACTTGTCGTTATCAATGTTAAAAAAGAAAACAAGGATAAATTACATCAAGAAAGGTTTGTGAGATCAAAACTAACATTAAATTTTTACATCAATGAATCGATTTGTTTTGACATACATCTGAGATAAGTAATCACTGTAATTCTAATTGCATCTGCTGAAATGTAAGAAAACGGTTGACATGTTATGTTTTTGAGAAATGCGACAGTCTCACTGATCTGAGAATCATTAATGCACTCTAATGTACATAACTGTGAGGCTTTATTTAAATTCAGCCAAAGTTGATGAACTGAGCAAAAATATTAACAACTGAAAATTTCTTCTGATATAAAAATTAAGTTTTTTTTTAAATGTAATTTATTATATTTTAGTCAAGTGTATTAGAACAAACTTTCATTACAACGCTCTGCGAATATTTCAATGCTTAAGCATTGTTCGTATGTCTTTTTGGACAAGTTTGTGATGGTCATTATCATTACTGTAAAATGGTACACATAAAATCTACGTTTTATGTTTACAGAAGTAAGTCGGAGGGATATAGAGATCGGTTTGATGCGGTAAGAGGGAAAGATATATTCAATGATGAGGTGAGATATACATTGTACATTAACAGCTTCTCTTCTCTTCTAGAAGTTAAAAAGTATATTCACTCTCAAATTTCTTTATTCTATATTGCTTTGATATCACTTTTGTTTGACGTAGGTTGCTACACTTGTATAACATCTTGGTTATTTAGTCTTTTGTATTGAGATGACCATTTTGATATTTTGATCAACTTTTGTAATATTTTCAATTTAATGTTACAGGATAAGAAATATGAAAAACAAGAATCGGCCAGAGATGAAGAGAAAATACAAAACAAGAAAGAACGAAAGCCATGGCATCCGCCTAGAAAACCTAAACCGGAGAGAATAGATAAGGAATACTTTGACAGTTGGACAGTAACACCGACACACATCTATAATGACAGCAATGATATGTTTTATAGGAATAGACGAAATGTGTCGGAAATGTGGACAAGCTTAGCAAAGTCTATTAAGAAATCTGTGATAAACAATGGGGACAGGATAAGATCCATTGAACGGACATATTACTAATTCCATTTCTATATCTATATTTGGAGGTTCTATTTCATTTTTGTTTTCATTTATTGTGTAAATGTATTTCAATGAATTTTTTAAATGAATCGTTTAATATAATTATGAATTAGTGTTGATTTATTCAACGGAGGTCATATCTATTAACAATGATGTACTTTCTTCTTCCCGCGACTGTATTAAAATGATACAGTGACGGTAGATATCGAAAGTATATGATGCGTAAGGTTTTGTAGCGGGGAAATAAATTTTTCAATTTTGTTTAAAAATTATGCGATGCTACATATACTAAATGTACGAATACCTTAAGCTCAACATGACATTATTTAAGTTTGCTATTAGACAGTTTTAGTGTTCAGTCAGAAACTGTGTAGCCATATCTCGGGTTTGTATAGATATAAAAACAACAGTTTTTTTGTCTAGCGTAAAATTTGTGTTACATGCTATGTGGGTTGCCTTTGACAAAAAGTGTGCATTGAACTGAATGTTATTTGTCAATTGTCATTTCATATATAAACGCATATAAACTTATTATTTCGAGGATTGGTGATTTAATACCGCTTTAGTCGGTGCTAGTGGGCATGAGAGTTGTTGCACTTAATGCAGAATCTGCAAATTTTCAGTTCTTTGTTTTTGTTTTCATTTCCTTCAACGGATCTCCCCTGTCCATCTTTTTATTTAAATCTTGTTCAGTAATATGCTTTTGTCAGATACCTACATTATTTTGCTTAAAAAAGTTCATGCAATAAAAGAACTGTTAGGTTGTACATACATGTAAACATTGGCATTTACCATTGATGTTGTTGTAAAAACTGTTCATCTTTTTATTATGATCGTATTATTTTCAAATTACAATAATGTTTTATCAAAGTACATTTTAGTTTTTTATCATCATAATTATTGACATGACAGTTTCATTTTAAAAGAATTGTATATATTGAAAACGAGTTGTTTTTCTTTAATAGGTATTATTTTTTTGTAGTTATCATTGTTTCCAAACGGTTCGGTCATTTCAAACTTTATGTAGATGTAAACTTTTTCGCAATTGCTAGTTTTTTCCATTTAAAACCTAAGGTACCATACATTATTATACACATATGATTTACAAATACCTAGTTGAAAATCCGAACAAAATTATATCTTTCATTTTCTTTTCTGCTTTAAGATACAAAGAGAAATGTGCATACATCGTGAAAACTGGTGGAAACATATAAAAGATTTATATTGGAATCAAATTGCGTGTCTTGATCAATCTATCCATATTATCATATTGAAATACAAATACAAGAAACTGCAGTGACATTTTTTTTTCTGTTTAACAAGAATTTTGCATTGATGCAATATCACAATATATGTAGTTTGCAAACGATATTATGACACACGATATTATGACACTTTTATTATGCTGTCGAAAGGTAAATCATTAGATTAAAAAAGGAAATTATTATGTAAACATTGTATTTTTAATATCAAGGATTGTTAATGCAGTTACTATCAAATGAAAGAAAATAATTTTTGGGTTACTTTTCTAGAAAATATAAAGTTTAAATCAGTCAGCAATTTATAACAGACATTTTTCTTAGAGTTAAAGGATATTAAAAGTTACTATGTAATCATTTGTCTCTGCGTGCCCCACATGTATTATCTATGTACTAAATTAATTGATTGTATCCTCACATTTAGAACACCTGACCTCGATTAATTTTTTTACGTTGGCATTGTTTTGCTAACCTTAGATATTTTACAATTTATTTACAATTCAGAGTGAAAACCACACCTCTAACTCCCCCCTAATATAATGCATTATTGAAATTTGTTAGACTGGTAAGACAACAGATTAAGTAAATTTTATTTAGTTAATACACATTAACCAAAGTTAGACTTAGCAGAAATTTGAAAAATACTACAATTTTGATTGGACAAAAAAATAATGTTGATCATTAAATAAAAGATAATGCTTATTATTTCAAAAGTTGAAAATTTGAGAAATAAAATTGATAGAATTTCTGAGGCATAATGGGCTTTTAAAATGTCATAAGATGATTTAAAAAAAGGAAACATAATTGTGTATTGCAAAAAAAATCATTGACATAAACAATTGGATGCTACTTTCAAAATAAAGTTAACGCTATTGGAATGTAATTTTTTCAGTTCTAAATGCCTGTCATAAGCCTTTCACTACTTTCTTTAGCTTGTTTTTTTTTTCGTCCTATCTTTCAGGTTTTCCAACATTATTTGCTGTTTTGGCATTTACTACTTGAAAACTATTGAATTCTCTTTAAATCTCTCCTCATGCTTTCATGCTTTTGTTTTATCGGACATATATTTAAAATCGTTATTTTTTTCTTTTATATTAAGATTTTTAATAATAAACTCTTTATCTTCGGTGATACACACTCTTTTAAACGACATGGTTAAACTTGCAATGTATATTGAGTGATGTTATGCAATAAACCGATCGGTCAACTTTTGAAGTCTAACTCACGAGAGGTAAGGTTGAGTAAACAAAACGAATACAACTTTTCACATTGTGAGTTACTTACCATAAGTCTACTCCAGCGTTACTTGAGGCGACTTTTCGTGAGTTTAAGTCGAGATTGAGATTAAGTATCGTTTCTGAATACGGACCATAATCTCAATTCCGACTTAAACTCAGGAAAGGTCACCTCAAGTAACGCTGGAGTAGACTTATGGTAAGAAACTCACAATGCCCAAAGTGGTACTCAACCTTACCTCTCGTGAGGGAGACTTCAAAAGTTGTCTGATCGGAAGTGTAACCATGTCGTTTAAAAGAGTGTGTTTCACCGAAGTGAAAACATTTTGTTAAAGAATTAATTATGTAAAAGAAAACAAAAAATAAAAAACGATTTTAAATATATGTTCGATAAAACAAAAGCATGAGGAGAAATTTAAAGATAATTTAATAATTTTCAAGTAGAGTAGTAAATGCCAGAATAGCAAAACAATGTCGGAAAACCTGAAAGACAGAATAAAAAAAGAAACCAAAGAATGTAGTGAAAGGCTTCTGACAGGCATTTAGATCTGAATTTGTTTTTATTTCAATAGCGTAATACCCCGGTCACATATTCAAGGAATACGCCCACGGAAGGGCCACGGATTAATTCCGGCATCGTCCGTAGCTACCCGTACTGGTCAGTAGCTCTCTGAATTGTAACCGTAATCAGTCGTAGAAGTCCTTGTATATCTGTAGCGATCCTTGACAATTTTTGAACATGCACAAAAATTTGCTACGGAAAAATCAACCGTAGCGTGTCCCTACTAGTCCGTATTAAACCGTACTGATACGTACTGGTCCGTACGAAAACCGTAGTAGTCCGTACTGATTCATAGACCCCAGCTTGTCAAGGATTTCCACGGTTTGGTACGGAGAACTACGTATTTGTACGGTTACTGGGAAATTATATATTTTTTTATCATGTTCTGAATAAATTGTTTATGTAAGGAGTAGTTTAATCACTGTCTTAGATTACTTGTCATGGGTTTCCTTACCAATTTAACATTATTTGGCATCTTCAATGCATGGGTTATGGCAAGCAAATCAGTATGCAACATCAATCATTGCCCTTCTTGTTTTCTTCCGTTAGAACAGTATAATCAAGATTCAGCTCTATTTGCTGTTAGAGAATTACAGTTTACAGTTGAGTTAAGAAGGCAAACTTGTTGCTAAACTAAGTACTGGGTGTTTTTATTCTGTATAGTTTGACTATATCCTTGTAGTCACGGAAAATAAAGCACTGGAATCCTCTGGAGGCATTATAGGTCTAACCCATAGTAATGACTGTGCTCTCTCTCTCACTGGTTTCTTGCAAGGCCATAAAATGCTAAGTATGTCATGGCTAACACGTCTGACAATAACTCTTGCTCAAACAAACAGCACACAGTTACACCTTTCCATACACAGTCAAAAAGATGTTGAGTGTATTCGAGTGTGACACCTTTATCAATGCATTTTATTTATCTTTATCCATCTTCTAAACTTTTAAACATTGCAAATGGTGTTGAACTTCCATTAGATGTTGAAAGGAACCTACTAAATTGTCTCAAAACAGGCCAACAAAATATTGTTAGTTTTTGTGTGAGACAGTTTTGTTGCACAGAAACTTTGGGTGGTGAGCCGAAAATACGTTAAAATTGAAACAAATTGTATAGTTGCCAATCCCAGCGTATATTCTTGTCATATGTATCAATAAAACGTAATTTAAGCTTTTTTGAAAAAGAAAATCATATTTCAACGTCTATTATTATAGACGCTTAAATATGAATTTTGTTAAAAACAGTTTAAGTACTGTAGATACATATGACAAGTATATGTGCTAGGATTGACAATAATACTTAACGCATTTTGAGCTCCACACCCAAAGTGTGGTTTGTTGTAGATAATTGTAAACCTCCCACAAAGAGATTCTTTGATCCTATACCAAAGTTTTAAGTCCTTTAAAGGAGGGCAGTAGATTGAACACTGGCCCTATTGACGGTGAAAAGATGTATTTAAGACTTGTCACAATAAATTCATTTAAGAAAGTGCCTTTTTAATTTTGACAGGGTTATATCCTTTGGGAATGCCCCTGTTCCTTTGAGTTTGTTCACAGATGATGTAAACACAGATATCTGATTTTCTTGAAAAACTTCTAGTAACATTCATCAATGATAATTTAAATGCACATGCTTCGAGTATAGCTGACTTGTTTTATTTTTGATGCTACTGCAGTATGGCCGTTGTTCAGATGCTGCAGCCTCAGTCTAGAATATAGACAACATACCAGATGTAGGCTTTATCGTTCTGGCAAATTGTAGACATTTTGTCACATAGTCAAAGTGCACTGCACATAACTGAGTTATTGATAGGTATATTTCAGATAGCCTTAAAACCAAACAGGCATAAATCGAGGTGAAAATATTTCCGCTTTCAAGCCAGTTGTAATTCAGCCAAATATCCAGTACAAAAAGTAACAATAATTTGTAACCAACGTTCCCCGCCTCAGGGAAGTTTTATTTAATTGTGCAATTTCAAAAAATTGAGGTATGGATCTCAGGAACTTCAGTCCAAAATTATGATCAATGCCAGATCTGCAAATGCAACAATAAATTTATTAAAGAAATAAAATGAAACATCTATCATGTTAAGCTTTGACCTCTTGGTGTGACCTTGACCTTGGAGGTAGAGATGCAGGTGTTGTGCATGACATATCGTCTGATTATTGTTACTATTTGTGCCAAGTATTTTCAAAATCCCTTGAACTATGAAGAAGTTATAGATCAGACACAAAATATACCCTATAACAGACTATGTTAATCTTTGACCTCTAAGTGTGACCTGGGACCCATGTTTTGCGCCTGACACAGGTGTTACGCATGGCATATCATCTTATCATTGTGACTTATTATTTATGCCAAGTATTTTTAAAATCCCTTGATCTATGAAGAAAATATGGACGGGACACAAAATATACCATATAACAGACTCTGATAATTTTTTACCTCTATATGTGACCTTGACTTTGGATGTAGGTGACTGGTTTTTTCGCATAACAAATCGTCTTATAATTGTGAACAATTGTGGCAAGTATTTATAAAATCCCACACAGATAAGAAAATTATGAACCGGACACGATATATACCTTCAAAAAGACAATGTTAACCTAGAATGAGCAAGTGCGACCTTGACCCTAGAGGTAGCGGTCTGGTTGTTAGGCATGACATATCGTCCTTTTATATATATATATAAATCATTTGTGCCAAACTATTTTAAATTCTTTTGATAAATGACAAAGTTATGGAACGGACACGAAAGTGTGACTAACGAACAGACGGACGGAGCCTATTTCTGTATCCCCCTTTTTTCTTCGAAAAGGCAGGGGACAAAAATGCACCTACAAAGTTCTTTACTAGATATCTCGCTGAAAACTGTCATGATTTTCTTGTCCTGATGAGAGAACCACTCAGGAGGAGGATTAGATAAACCATACAGCAGGAGGATTAGATAAACAGTTTTAAAAAATCACTACTTCATGTGTGGAGTATTTTCCAATATGAGATTCAAATCATGAACAAGTTGTTAGCAGGATAATCCTGCATGTTGCTTTTACTTCCTCTTAGGTGTACAGCAAGCTGTTGTTTTTAGTCCTAATACTGATTTATTTGTACTTCTTATGAATCATTTCTCGGAGCTTAATATAAAAGTATTTACTTTAACTGGTAGAAAAGGTATGCACAGAGACCTGATAAGATATATTTCAGTATATACAGTAAAGATTTCAGTGTTCTGCCTTCACAGCAGTGAAGTATCATACTTTCTGTGGTTGTGATACCTGTTCATCATTCCGTAGCATAGGAAAGAGGAAGGCTATTCAGGTAATGTGTAAGGCTGATTATAATTGACCTAGGGAAAGATATGGTACTTTCAATTCATGCTAACACTGCTGCATTTAAGTTTGTTGGTCTCTTGTATAGACATCATTGCCCTCCCTCAATGTTCTTTGATCATCCCGGGTTCTTTGCAAAAAGGGGGTCATATCAAGGAAATGACCTCCAACAAATGATAGCTTCGTTCTTCATTTACTGCGATGTATACTTCAGTTATTCGTATGGCGTTTATCAAACAATAATTCCTCCATTTTATCAACTTTGGATATAGTTAGGAATGTACAATACACAGCTTATGAAACTGTAGAAAATAAAATTGAAAACCCTTTAAATTTTATCAAACCTAAACCACTGATTTTTGTTTTGGTTTTGCTGAATTTTACATTTATACAAACAAATGTATCAATGTTTATGTACAACATACACGTAAAAGAACTTAGTTAACAAATAATGTTACTGCTTGTTTCTACACTCTTATATGCATGTACATGTTTGAACTTTTATAATGTTTTTATAGGTTCTGAAATAAGATAAAGATTCATTCAAAAAGAATGTAAAAAAATCATGTATCTGTAAAACTGTATCCTCTACGAATTTTCACTTTATCCTTAAATTTGACGCTGCTTTGATTCAGAAAACCAGCAAAACAAGTTTTAAATTATGCAAGCCTCCCTTAAAATAATGTGATAGGGCTGATACCATTTGTTAAAATTCAAAATTTGCAATAAAAGTATAGCTTAAAGAATATTTCTTGAAAATTTTCTAAGATGGCGGCCATCTTGGCGGCCATCTTGGATTTCTTTGATCGCCATCATTTTTGCCAATTTATGCCGGTGGTTTTATATACTACTGACATTAATGAACATTTTGGTATATAACATTCATTGTTGCAATAACTGTCCAGGTTCATCATTTTCTAGGTCCTGATTGTCACCCTACCATACCCTACGTATAGGCTACGGTTTATACGGATAATTACCGACATTGTCAGGAAAGCAATGATGCGAATCTTGTCACTACGGTAGAGGCAGGATTAAAGGTCTTTATCGGTTTATTTCGTTGCTTAACGCGAACGGTACGGAATGTGGTAGCCCAGACTGTTTGTGGTAAATTAAGATCATGTACCCCTGTTCAGGGCATAAATACTACATTCTTAGTGTTAAACAGAATATAGCGTGAACATTCAATAAATGTAATGCTCCTTTATAATTACTGGGCCTATGGTTAAATATGATGACTCAAATGCTGAAGGCAGTAATCAATGCATAAGGACACATAATAGATTAAGCCTCAAAGTTGACTGATTTACTATAGAACAAATAGTACGAAAATTCACCGGGCCGAGGCCATAAGCTACGGTTTTAATACGGATTAATACGGCATTGTCACGGAAAGCCACGATCGGAATACGTTGTACTACGGAGAGGCAGGGATTAACACGGTCTTATACGGTTTATTTCGTTGCTACGCGAAACGGTACGGAATGGTAGGCCCACCACTGTTTAGTACGGATAAATTAAGTATCATGTACCTTTTCAAGGGCATAAATACTACATTCTTGTTAAAAACAGACATATTAGCGTGAACATTCAATAAATGATAATTGCCTTTTATAATTACTGGCTGCAGGTTTACATGAAATGATGGGAAAAGGCGTAAAATCAAACAAACAAACAAACAAACAAACATGAAATGACTCAGAATGCGGAGGCAGTGAATCACATGCATAGAGGTACAAATATATTAATGACGAGGCCACGAGATGATAAGTCGTGCCCACGAGATAATATCTTGAGGCCTCAAGATAATAAGTCGTGGCCACGAGATAAAATAAAACTGCAAATGTCACCTTTAAGCCACCGTATATTTACCACTGCCATTCATTTACCTGTAAATATTTTAATACCATAATACTTTCTATTGCATAAACGTTTTCTTATATAACACTACGTTCATTTATTGTCAATTATTTGACAGGTTTTATACAAGATTGTTTTATTCCACCATAATGTCGTAACGGTTTAACAGTAAACCTATTACAAATAAATTGGTATAATTTTACCTTCACCGGATCGATTATCTTATTATTCCAAATCAATAGATCAGAGTACTTTATTTACTTATTCATACATGAATATGTGTATTGGGATTTTCTGCGTGTATAAAGATAGCGCAAACATCGTAAATATCAGTTTTTGTGTTGGGTAGAAACGGGTGTTCGCTTGATCAACTTTAATTTATTTAACTACTTTTTTTCATTACGACAATAATCAATGGCTTTATCATAGTTCAGATAACAACACAGTGAAGGATAATGGCCTCCAACACGGTAAGCTTACAATTTTATAACGTTATTCTATAATCTTGTAAAGTATGACCTTTGTATAAACAGTAAATTTACTGTACGCTCTAGTAAACTAGAACTTTAAGGAAACGGTATCGCAATAAGGTTGTTTGACACTAAATTACGAAACGACGAATTATGTCTGACAATACATGTATATTAGAGGCTCTTACTTTTACTTATATGTATCTTTATATTTAAATATTCAATAAAAGCAGTTAAATTGAAAATAAAGTGCAATTATTATTTTTGATCTCATCAAAATCCAAAGCAAGATTTGGTCGTACACATCGTCGCATATTAATTCAGTTTTTTTCTTCTTCGATTATTATAATACAAGTGTGACAGTCATAAAATATAAGGACATACATCATTAAATCATGTAAGAGTTTAAATACATCTGCTGCAGATTTTACTTCATTCTAAATTCACACTTAATTTCATATGTCATTTGCCAGAGGATATGGACTGTCTCGTTAATAATTCTCCACACTGAACTATTCAAACCATGACTGCTGCATATTATATACATGTTATCCGGAACTCGGCAAATGTGGGGTTTTCCCGGTACAATTTTTAAGCTTGCCGGTGCACTACCCGTCACAATAGATTAACCAACCTGTTGTACTTACTTTAGAAGCTGTGTCTGGGAAAACCCGAATTCCGGAGTAAGTCTATTTAATTGTGTGCAAGGACCTTGCGATTCTCGACATTGGTCAGTTGGTTTAAAAACAATCAAAGAACATTCATAAAAATTGCTACATCTTCATAATAAATAAATAAATAAATAAAAAATATTCCATTTCAAGAATGCTTTATAAATACACACGAAGTGTTCCTTTATAAAAGTACTTAGCGACTTCATTATTTCCATAAAGATATTTCGAAAGGATTGACCTATTAAATGCTTTTGAGCATAACGCTAACATCAGCGATCGATACATAGAACTGAATTTAAATATCGTTGTTCACCTTGCCATGAATAACTATATCTGCATACTCATACAGTTGAATATTATTTATGGCATTTATATCAATTCATATGAAATGATTGAATTCATTTTAACAGAATTTTTAAAGATTTTTCAAATTAAACTCTAAGAAAACATGGATTTATGTTATGGTTATACTGTAAGGATTGCTGCTCTGTAACACCGCACTTTGGGGTCAAACGCAGTTTGGAGTCCAACCTCAAAGTGCGTTACGCACTTTGGTGTCAATACAAAGTTTGACCCCAAAGTGCGTTACACAGGTACATATACATATTTTAACATCAGGGGTAATAGAAATTAAATCAATAAGAATTAATTTGAGTGATTTTTTAAAAATAATGTCTTGTAGTTAATGCTAATTGTAAACTAAAAACAACAACGAAGAAGCCAAATAGAGAAATAGTCAAATAGCCAAATATTCAAATAGAGAAAATTAGAATCCCTAAAGAAAGTTATAAACGTCAAAAATTGAAAATGACTGCTTCATATTAAATACATGTTATCCGGAACTCGGCAAATGTGGGTTTTTCCCGGTACAATTTTAAAGCTTGCCGGTGCAAGCTCTCAAGTGTAAACTTCCGTCCAAACCCCCTAGCACCGGCTTAAACAGAGTTCAATGGTCAATTTCGAATTGAAAAAACATCAAAGTCATAGAAAGCGTGTGCCCTAAACTAGAAAAAGTTAAAGTTCATAATGTTATAAACACAATTAAAAATTGCACTTTTAAAACGAATTTAAAATTTTTTCACAGATGATCTGGCACCAAAATATATATCTGAACTACGAGTTTATTCTAGTAATGATAGATATAATCTTCGCTCTTCAGAAAATAATGATCTAATTCACTTCAGGTCACGGACAAACATTTACATACAAAGCGGCACATTTATGGAATACATTTGCAACTGACATAAAACTACAAAGTAAATTGTCATCTTTTAAGGGGAAACTAAAGGATTATTGCGTTAATAGAAATTTATATAGATCTCTTTTTTTGTTTGTTTTTGTTTGTTTGTTAACATTGATTGATGATTGCATATGCATACGAAGTTAAGATATTAATTTCCATAAGTTATTATATATAATCCACAAACATGCTATGTATTTTGTAAGAGTGTTTGTCGTAATTATATTGCTGTTTATTGTTATTTCTGTTTATATATGTATAGAAGGTCATATTGGAAATAAGTTGTATGTTTATTATGTACTCTTAATACTGCACCAAAAGTTATCAAGTAAATGGCTGACATAACAGAATAGTTTTGAAGCATCTTTTGTCACAATATAAGTACTTACGTAGTTTATTATATTGTCACAATTTTTAGATATTTCAAAGGGTTAATTTAATAAAACATTTACCACTTGAGTATTAAACACATTTTTAGCTCGACTATTCATTTGTCGGCGTCGGCGTCCATGTGGTTAAGGTTTTACGTGTTAGCTGGCATCTCCATAACTGCTGAAGGGAATGGATTGAAACAGCCGTGTTGGACTGTCTTTAGGGATTCTTATTTCACTATATTTTATCGCCACATCAGCGTTGTTTGTGCCGTGTGGAGGCTGTAAAAAGTCGCCCCGTACATTCAATCAGGGATGTTATATTTCCAATCCTTAAAGATCGTTCAGCACGACATTATTGTTTTGCTTGTGGTATTTTAGTTCTATCTATTCGGCATCTTTCTTGTTGGGTGGTTCCAGTATTCCTCACTTGAATACTATTGAATCACCCTTAGGATATGAGGCCTGCTTTTTGTATACATTGCTTGCAATGTATACAGAGTTATAGCTGTATTTCAAATTTAGTACACCTAACGTGTTTTGCTGAACAACATCCACCTTTGGATGAAACCTCGATAAAAGTAGATCCTCATTTTGCAGGATTGTCACATTAAGATCACTTTTTATTAATATACTGTTTGCATAGTGGTCAATAAGCTTTGAAAGTTCAAAACTATGCACTTTCAGTTCAAATAAACATTTTCTAAACATGAAAGCAAAAAAATAAAAATTTCTATTTCATTCATAAAAGCATTGTGTAAACCTACGCTTTCAAACTTCGTATCCACGCATGCGCGTGCAAGAATGAATGAATTACGACAGACTCTGTATAAAAATATGTCCAACACCCAAAATTAATATTAAATCAAACAAATAAACCTTATTTACTTTTAAATATAGACTTGCATACTTTTTCTTTTTCAAACTGTGTTTTAGAAAACGAGCATATACAGATATATATATGTCTTATTAGTGTTATGTAACATTGTAAGCGTCTGTATGAATGGATTAAAGTTTACGTTCTGACGTATTGTCATATAATTGCATATAATAGAACCCTATCAACGTGGTGGCATCGGATGAGTATGCAATTATTTGTTTCACACCTGCAGTGTGAAGTATTTCTGCCACTTTAGTGAAATATATCGTCCAAAAGTCATTTTCGGGAAGGGGAAGATTCGTACTGAATATTATTCGAACTAAGGATTTGTACTCAATATTAATTGAATTTAGCCTTCGTAATCGGTATTATTCGAACTGACAATCATGGCAGATATGTTTAGACCCCCTGGACATTAAGATGTTGAAAATTGTTACATATCACATAACTTTATCAAATGGAAGCGCCAATAGAAATTTACTTTAACAGTGTTGACTGCCAGTGGAAATGCTGAGAAAGATGAAAAGATACAAGTAAATATCCTATTACACTGTGCTGGACCAAAAGTTATCAATTTACATGGGCAAATGCAGAACATAAACTGAAAGTGAAAAAATTATTTGACAAAATAGAAAGCTATTGCAATCCTAGAAAAAATGAAGTGCTCAGAATCACACAGATTTTGGGTAACAAATCCAGATAATTATTCATCATTTGACAGTTTTCTTACAGAGTTTTGAATGCATGTTGAGTCCAGAAATATATTTTGAAATATATTATTTACTATCAAATCACTCAGTCAGACTGAGCCGACCATAACATATTTTTACATAACTCCTTAGACTATTGATATATATAAGGTAAAATTATTAGCCATATATGAGCTTATGATTGCATGGGCAGTTAAATTACAGCCATTAGTAAAAAAAAGGGTTGACCTGGGATAAAAACCAAAGTGAAGAGTGAAATATGACACTCAACACATGTACATTCTAAATATTTAGATTGATGTCTATGATCAGATTTAGCACAATTAGTAATTTAATTTCCCCTGATACCACAAATATGAATTTATTTAGAGTCCTGAAGATCTTTTTATGATGAAATCTTAACTGAAAAACCAGGTTTAACTGAATTATCATAAAATTCCTTGCCACAATGATAACTAGAAGGTACATAAAGCCAGTCAAAAAAATATTTCTATCCATATTCATCATTCCTGGACCTCCATCCATTTGATGAATTTCTCCAACTGGTAAATTTTTCATCTTATTATATTTTGTTTGTTAATATAAAAGATTTTTTTATGTTTATATACAGCTAGAATAGTCTGTAATGGCTAAGATAGACAGATAAGAACAAACTATTTAGTAAACATGAGTTACATCCCTTCAAATGGAGATAAAGATGAAACCCATAAGAAATTGCCATGTCTGACAGACAGCAAAATTATAAAATTCTGCAGGCTCAGTTTACTTAGGCCTATTAGGAGGTAGTGGTAATAACTGTGGGTCAAAAATGAAATGATATAATTTTCATGGGATGTTTCTGATATGATTTACTTTAAATAATGGGTCATTATCAATGAATGTTTCTTGACTTCTATGCCCATGTGTAATAGATTATTGACATTGCCAGCTAGATAGCTCAGCTGAGTGAGTCAGTACAGCCCACATACATGTATAATATTCTGATTCAGGTTTGATGCCGGTCAAACTGCACATTTTTCTCACCCTGTGATATTTTCACCCTGTTACTTTTAGGGTTCAATATATGTTTATGATGGTACATAACTGAGAAATAAGTCAATTCACTTTGTTACTTAAGTGTGCCAA